AAAAAAAAAAGAAAAACAACAAAAAAAATACATAATAACGTAGTTGAAAACGATTAAGCAAAATGGTTTGGTTGTTGACCAACGGAGAGCATGGGAGAAAAAAAATGTACAACCTTCTTTGTTTGAGTATCTTTTCTCATGATATTTATTGAAAATTGGAGCCTTCAATCAAAGCATGGTTACAAGAAGGATAACGTGGTTGGGCGAGATATTATAGCCTCGAACTCATAATGTACAATGGTATTGCTGAAGCATTTAATTTATGTCGATTGATAGTGAAAAAATATATGTAGTACCGTGGGCTGGCGACATCCTAAATAATCAATGCCTTAGATTAGATTACCTCCTTTTGACACAGATCACTGATTTAATGCATGTTTGCATCATTTCGTACTCAGATAAGTTCTATTTTACATGGGCCTAAAGTACCTTATGACTGCTCTTCAATTGCCTCACTTCTTGGCTAATTGCACCAAAGCTGCAGAAAGCTACTCCCTCTATCCCAAAAACATGATACTTCTCAGATTTCACCACTACTTTTTCATATACATTTTAAATATTTTAAACTTTTAATTATTATGACTTATAGTATTTTTTTAATGCAATTTTTAAATATCTAACCTTTTTTTTTAGAAAAACATAAAGGTTCCATCTCTGAATTCATAATCAAAATTAAAAAGTTTGACTTTCGAAATTCGAAAAGTATTAAATAAGCTGCTTGATCAACCATTTCACGTGGAAGTTCACATTTGAAAATCCCCCAAATTAAATATAATCTTATTGGCAAGTCTACATCTCAACACCCAAACATGATTAGGACTTCTTTCGTGTTTTAAATTTATTTTACATAGAGGGAGAGGGAGGGAAAATAAGATCGGATCCACATCAATAAGGTAGAAATAACCAACTAGGGCTACCATGATTCCCCAAACATGATCAGGACTAGGTTGTCAAATGCTATATCATGTTTGAGCTCTAAAGCAAGTCCATGTAAAATGTCCATATGTGGCTAAATTAGCCTTGCAAATTGAAGTTCAACAAGAATATCTGAGTGTATACATATTAACATCTATTTAGTAAAGTTATATTTGATGTTTAGGTTTCTTCACAAGTTTGTTTTACTCTTCTCTTGTCAATGATTTGACTAATGGATCAGCCCAATTCTTACTAGATCTCACATACACTATGCTATAGTCCATTTGCAATTAATTCTCTTATATAAACATGTCTTAAGCTTATATGTCTTGATTTTCTATTTGTGAGTCACACACATTATAGTCTCACTATCATCAAATATAACAATGGCTGGCATAGGTTGTGGCCACACCTTTAAATCTAATGACATATTCCTTAGCCATTTTGCTTCTTTGCCAACCTCAGAGTAAATATTTATCTCGAAATGAATTTATTATCATTAACATTTTGCATCAAATTATCCTTCTAATACAGTAGGAAAATCATTAAAGCAAATGCCTAAATGTTTTCTATGTCACTTATCGGATTAGTAATGTACATACGTGGGCTTATTTTTGTATTTGCTCAAACAAAAAGAAATCAAACTTCACAGGATGCTTTTCGATTTTACTACTACACTAAAAAAAACTCACTATTAGTATAGAAAAGAAATCTAATAAACTAATAATGAAATATATGGTAAGTTTCCGGCCTTTTGGTTTACAAAGAGCCCGTAAGGAAATTTTTGATAAAGAATAAGATAGTTTTAAGATAATTTTTTTTAAGAGGAGGACAATCAAGCCAGCACAGACTCAATCTCGGAACTTCTTGAACTGTTTGAACCCACTAGACCATTGCTCCACAGCCAGGGCCGGCCTAATGGCCAAGCAAGTAAAGCAATTTGTGGGGCCCCCAAAATTTTCTAATAGTTAATGTATTTTCAATTTTTTTTTAAAAGAATATTAAGTGTTTGAAAAGAAAAATAATGCAAGTTTTAAGGAAAGGGGACTGTTGGAGAACAATGGAAAAGGAATACATTTTTGGGATCCACTCCTTATTTACGTGTGATCATTCCACAATCTTGCCTCATCTAAGCATCACTAGGGGTGTACGAAGGAAACCGACAAATCGTATCAACCCGATAATCTGAGTCAAATTGAGAAAAAAAACCTGACTCTAGTTTGGTTTGATTTGGCTTGTTGTTGGAAAAAAAACCCGACCATAATTGATTTGGTTTGGTTTGGTTTGGTTTTAACTAAATAAAGTCAAACCGAAACCAAACCAACCCGACATTATATATATCGAAATTTTAGATATATTTAATATATAAATATACTAATTGTGATGTAATTTATAAATATTTCTTAAAAAAATTCATAATTTTATCTTTTAAGGTATTATTTCAAGGTTGAACTTAGAACTTTTGAATGCTTAGCCATTAATATTAGTAAATTAAAAGAATGCTAACAAAAGCCCAAACCAAAATCAAATCAATACTAGTGCTAACAAAAGACATTCAATTTAATACTACGAACAGGAATGTATTGAATATCTACTTTTTGTTTTGCAATAATTTAGACAAAAATGCATAATCTACTTTTATTTTTCTTTAGCGATTAGTCATGTAATTAATACTCCCTTATTATTCTATATATTTAACATGACTTAGTACCTTTAGATTATGTTTATTTTTATTATGGCTTTTTAATTAGCAATATTAATATTACATAATTTTATTGTCTTTATTGTTGAATATTTTAGGATAATGCCATGATACATCTCATATTTTGTATTATTTTCTTGGAAAATACTTTATATAGTTGTATCTTATTAGGATTAAAGAAATATTTTGAGCATACGTATATTTTGTTCTATGAAGATTTTACCGGAAAAAAAATCGAAAAATCCGAATAACCCGAAAACCCGAGAAAAACTGAAATTGAAAAACCCGAATTTTATTGGTTTGGTTTGGTCTTTAGATTTAATAACCCAACACAATTGATTTGGTTTGGTAATTGTAAAATCCGAACCAACCCGGCCTACGTACACCCCTACGCACCACTATTATTATGGGCCTACATTCTTTTTATCTCTTTTTATCTTTCTCTGCAAAAGTCTATTAACTTTTACTTTTCTATTGTTCCTTCGGCCTTCTCTACATTCCAATCTCATTGAGTCACTATTACAAAATAAAAGAGTAGAAACACAAGTACCGTCTTTTTTATTTGTTCTCAAGTTTTTTGGCGTTGCATCAAGAATATTGAAGTAGAAAAGTGTATCAAGTTATCTATTTATTGAATCAGGTTTGGTTGTTCTATATCTTATTATTTGCATCTATTTTTTATTTTTTTTGGATATATTTTCTTTATAAGTATAGATTGTTTTTATAGTTATTTATTAGAGTTTTAATATGTCAACTAGAAAATATGAATCCGAGTTTTAATAAACAAATTATTAAGAATTTCGCATCTCAAAAAGCTAACAAAATAAATTTCAAATAAAATTATGAGTATTCTTCTATAACAAAAATCCTAGGGCCACTCCTTGAAGTTTTGTTTTAGGCCACAAATATCATTGGGCCGTCCCTGTCCACAACGTTCATGTTTGTCAAGTGGCTTCATTTGCAATAATGTAACATAAACTTGTCTTTTCTAATATAATTTATATATATAAATAATATATTTTTTGCGAAGCGGATTCAGTTGAATCTGCTAGGTTCAACGTAGGTCCGCCCCTGTCTCTAAATGCATGCCAAAACGAATAGGTCTTTAGAGTGCTAGATATTGTTGGATCTAAAAGGGACGTAGGATATATTCTTAAATGATTTAGACTTTCTTTAGCAACATGTTCGATTTTCTTTTGCGTAAACAAAATGAACGAAAGGTTTTTTTTGGTCAATCAAAGATGCATATTTCATATATTAAGGAACAATACAAGAAGCAATATGTGGTACAGTGTTACAGAAAGAGTGGCGTGCACTGATACCAACTTCTACTAGAGTGTCAATGTTAATATTACAAGAGTTGGGCGACCTAAGTAAACAAAAGGAGGGGTGGTCCAGCTTCATGGTAGCAGTTATGGAACGTTTGTGAAGTGTTCCCTGTTGGTTATCTGTGAACTTGTGCATGACAAAATGAGGTGGTTCCAAAAATTCAGTAATGGGGGCGTTCAGAGGTTGAGTTGCCCCTTGTTGGGCCAGCTTATCTGCCACTTGATTTTTCTCCCTGTAAATATGTGTCACACAAGGACTACCCAGTAGATGTAGGAGATACTTGCATTCATTAGTGATGGATGAGTAATGTGAATTGTGAGAGTGGAGAAAAAAAATTACCTCAGTTGAGTCCACATTGACCTCTAATGGTGTGAAATTATGTTGTAGGGAAAGTCGTAGCCCTTCCTATAAAGCCGTAAGTTCCATATAGTTTGGGTTTCCCATAGACCTTGTACCTATGTATCCTAGTAACTATTTACCTATGGAGTCTCTAATCACTCCACCAAAATCCCATTTTTGATGTGTTAGGCTACATGCACCGTCAGAATTAAGTTTAAAGGAACCATTATTAGGAGGGTTCCATATGACATGCATATGTGTTTTTTGTGAGGTAGTGGTGGGATTGTTAAGGCCCAGGTAGAAATATTTAGTAGCTTGGCTTATGATTTTTTTGGGGTTAGGGGCTACGTTCCTTCAAAAACAGTACGGTTTCTAGTTTTTCTTAAGTTCCAAAGAGGGTAAGGAATGAAGATGTGTGGGGGAATTTGAGTAATATGTATAGTGGTTCGTAAAATGAATTGAGATAGTTTATGAGGGGTATTTTCATGCAACCTATTTAAGTTGGCATCCCTTAAGTTGATCCCTAAGTGTTGCCAAAGCATTTGAGTATGGTGGCATTGGAAGAAAAATAGCTTATGGATTCCTCATGGGAGTGACAAATAGGACATTGTGCATGTTGGGCGATGTGGATATTGTGGAGGTGGATGGATATGGGTAGGCGATAATGGCT